CTGTATCACCATGATTCCAAAAATACACTACACAACATAGCATTGGCTAACAATAAAACAATATGCAATAAAATAAAGTCATGACAAGGTACATAGTCGAAAATGGCGCCGATTCCCATCAACCAACGCGCGGTCTCTCCAATGTAACATGGTCCATTGATACTCCCCAGCTGGGACCGTCCGGAATAGCAGCTCTAGTGCAAGCACCAGAGCCGCTAAAAAGTCGAACCTTCAAAATCGAAAAAATCGATTTATGACTACGATAAATTACGCAACCATGCAAACAGCATCAATATTCGTGTAGAGAATATTTTTTAACGTTTTTTTTTAGCGCAAACCGCAACACTTACACTCAAACCGTTCGCGAGATATCGATTTTTAAAGTTTTAAAAAAATTGCAACTTTGGCCCCCGGCCCCCTCCCCCCTAATTATCCGAGGGGGCTGAAATTGCCCAAGCATCGGGGACACTTAGTACAACATCTGAGCAAAGTTTGGGCCAAATCCAGGGGGGGGGGGCAAAATCGGCGTTTTTGGAACAACCTCTTTTGGATTAAAACTGAAATCATAGAGAGAACTCCTGATATAGGTTTATTGACGTAGCTTTAAATTCATTTTTATGTTTTATGTGCAGTTTCATTTTTCAAAATAATTGTTCAATTTTGTATAGTTGATGCCGGTTGCCAGACCAATCGGAGGGACTAGGAACATCACGTCGTACAAGGTAACTCCTGATTAGTCGAGAGCACGCTGTGGCTTGCATTCTGATTTTTCAAGCTTGCAGCTGTCCGGCCATTCTCGTTTTAAATACTAGAAATGCGAGGAAACCCCTTTTAAAGTCCCCTTAAGTTCACTTTGTTTCCTTATTATATGACTTGATGATCCTGAAAACTACATAGGTTCAGAATGGTTGACTCCACATAGTTCTCAGAACGTGGTGAAATTGAATCTACAGAAGTCTTGTGTGTCGTATCGTGATTTAACGGGTCGATTCTTCGATCCGCTCTGGGGAACTCATAAGACCAAAGTTCAATTTCTTCACTTAAAATTAGTAGCAATTCCTGGTTGAAATCAGGGCCAACATTCAATTTAACGGATCATTTTTCTCCGAAAGCTTGCGTGTTGCGTGTAATGGGAGATTTTTTCGGTGGTTGAAAATATGGGGAGATAATTAGGGAATTTAATTTTCAAAAATTTGTAGACAGGTTTATATCGAGTTTGAATTGCTCGAGGACATCATCGCCAGCAAAATCTGAATTTTCTCAATGCAGTTTCTTGCTTAGTGTTGACTGTTGATCCTAAAAAGTTGCATGTGGTCGCATTAGTTTTCTTTTAACCTACACTATAAGCCTCATTCACGAGATGAGAAACTCTAACAAATCGAATTTCAATCATTGCTCGAAAATGTACAATTTAAAGCAACTGTATTCACTTTAAATTTACAAGTGTTTTAATTGTTTAAATTGCAAATCGATTCTGACATTCAATATCTTGAATATGATTATATCTTCAATGTCTAATGTTTGTTTATTTTTGTATGATGGCAAAGTGTTCCAGAGGATGAAGTTAAAATTACCACCATCATTTTAAAAGAGTATTGCCAAGAGACTCGAAGAACCACATACGGCTTTCACACCAACGTAAAAATGAAGTCCGAGTTGCGGAAGCAAAACGCAGTCTATTGACCACGTCCAATGCGGCAATCTTGGTGCGCGTTCAGTCAGTTCGAGTGGAATGCAAACCCACGGACGAAGTGCATCATTCATCGTTCATCGCGTCCGAAACACAAACAACTATCCCACGGATGAAGCTCAAGATATAATCGTGGGCTTGCAGCAACCGAAATCGCTTGAACTGTTGATAAACCAACGGGCGAGAACTTTCAGTGCTGCTATTAGAGCGAATAATTCAGTCTATTTCTACTTCTTCCAATTTTTCACCTACAATGTTTCTAATAGCTGCACCTGACTAATCGGTTCTAATATGGTTCTAATATAACCGAGTTATGGCAAGTCAAAGTTAAAATTTTGACTATTTTCAAAAAAGCATAACTCCCGCTCAAATTACCGAAAAAAAAAACAAGAAACGGGAAAAGTTACAAGACTTGGAGTACTTTTAAAGGTTGGATGCGACAGTAATTGGAAAAAAAATTTAAGGTGGGATTCGGACCCTCAAAAAGTCGAATTTTGGGGCCCCTCCAATTCCGCTCGAGGAGTACGTATTTTACGAAACTTCAACGGAAAATTTTGTGTTTAAACGACTTGTGGGACGGATAAGAAAAATGAGAGCCTCCACGATTGCCCCCCCCCTTCACACTCCAAATCGTCGAGAATCAACCTCTCGCTTGGGGCACACTTCCTAAAATGAAATGATACGCCGAGAGTTTTCGTAAAAAATCTCATGCAATTAACACTCAATAATTTTTAAAATGGGAAAACAGCGTAGATCTTATGTTCCGTTGTGACTTAGTGCATGCTAATTTACCAGAAAACTAAAGATTGATAGGTGTAAGCTATGCTACATGAATCTGCATACCTATAATCTGGCAGGACAGACAAAGGAGCCTCTCGAAGATACGTTCGGGTGATTCTTATCACTTAAAATCAAGCTTATCCGTGAGTAGCAAGCTTCTTGGTTCGTCATCGCTACTCGCACTGGCAGTAGGACATTTTTTTGGTAATCAGTGTGTTTTCTGATTCGATTGAGTAACGTGGTAAATGCGAGTGGTAAGTTTCCAAAAGCGCAAACGCCCAAAAGCGCAAACCCCAAAAGCGCAAAATGCAGATTTGCGCTTTTGGGGTGGTGGAAGAAGGGACTCCTTTGCGCAAATGGGTACTCTAAAATATGAAAAAAGGCCAATACATTAAGTTTAGAAATGTGTTTCGATCGTTATGCATTTGCCTTTGTAAAAGTTTTGGCTTTTAAAAGTGAGTGCTTCTGTTTTCATTAATTTGATAGTTTCTCCGCTTTGTGTGCTTTTTTGAACTTTTGAGTGCTTAATTTCATTGCATTAGTTTTTGCAAAATTTTTTTTTTTGGCAAGAGGGCACTTTTAGCTCCATTACCGATAGCTTTTTTGCTTGTTGTGCTTTGCCGAATTTTGACTAACAGCTTAATTTGACTGCACTACCGTCGGTTTTTTGCCTTCAAAAGTGTGTGCTTTGGCTCCATTTTTTGGTATACTGTTACCAAAATTACTGTACTGTTTATTTCCTTCTTTTGCTTCGACTTTGCTTCTGCTAACAATGCTTTTCTTTTTGCGTGTGTTTTTATTCTCGCTTCTCTTTACGTTCGTGTTTATGGCTCGTTCTAACGAGGATAGAGTGGAAATGGTACTCTTCTACGGCGAGTCGGGTCGAAATTTTCACGAAACTGTCCGTCGTTTTAATGCGTTGCACCCTGAACGTCCCACAACGCGGAAATACATTCGCGACTTGATTGGGAAATTCAGTCACATTTTCAGTAAAAGATGCTAGGCGTTCGGGGCGACCAAAATTGTTAAACGAAGATCAGAAAATTGATCTTTTAGCTGAATTTGTCACGAATCCACAGCAGTCTATTCGAATGGTGGCCGAACGGCACGGCGTTCCGAGGATGAGCACTCAACGTTTGCTCAAATTGCATAAATTGCATTTCATTTCCATGGAAAACTGTACATCATATGGTGAAAGTAATATGAATATTCCTAACATTAGTGCTTTTACTGTATGAATTTCACGAATTTGAACGTTGAGTTTGAGAATTGACACGCGTTTCAGCAATCACCTGTACTCCCTGGAAATAATCTAGGGGGCCTGTAAATAGCATGGTAATTTTTTCTCCTTTTTTCATCGGTAGATACAAAGTCGAACATTTCTAACCCCTGGGAGACGCCTTAAATTGCTCATTCTATTTGTGCCACAATTATAAGAAGCTATGGCTTATAAACCAATTTGTCGTTCATATGTATGGACCGACACCACTAATAGTAGTAAAGGCAACATATAATAGTTAGTAAGTTAGTTAGTTTACGACGATCAGCAACCAGGCTAATTATGTCGGGGATAGTTAGTTAGTTACTTAATTTACGGCGATCAGCAACCAGGCACACACATGCCTTAGTGAGGGTATATACAGCTTTAGTATGGTTCATAGACCGGGAGTCATTGGTTCATTTACGACTATTAGTGGTGTTCCACATGGACCACTAATTGGTTTATAAAGTCATATATTTTTCTTCTCGAGGACCTCCGCGGAGTTAAGATACAGCTGACTCTCTGGAGCGAAAAATCTCCATTCCCCGGCTTCAACGATACGGACTTTGGGAGACAAGAAAATTGTGAAGAATCTAAAGATGAAAGCTGACTTCCGGTTGAACCACGTCATGAAAGATACGAAGCGTGGGGGTGCTTTATCGCAGCGCGGAGGGATGTTGACGAGAAACAAGTGTCGAGGAGGAAATATGGAGCAATAAATGCAAATGACGACCTTATGTTTATGGAAAGCGGAGCGGGTCTTGACGAGGGTGCAGCGACACGAGAGACACTTCGCCGCAGGTCAGACTCGGCGAGAGGGATGAGCCGGACGTGAAAAAAGATAAACATAATTCCGCGACACGTATAATCCTCGAGGAGACGCTCGTTTTTAATTGCTCAGCGATTCACACCACGCGTTTAACTTTTTGTTACCTCCGCAGAAAAAAGATTTTAGGCTACAAATTACACGTCGCCGTATACGGTTTGAAAAAAACTCCAAGTAATGCCTAACATACGAAGAAAAAGTATGAGCTCCTAGAATATCTAACTGTTATTTAAAATTAAATTTTGGATGATTTTGCGAGATTTGACCTAGGACTTCATGAATTTTATATTTTCTTTTTTTTAAAAAAAAAAACAAAAAAAACCAAGACTTGTTTTAACGAGTGCATTTTAAATAATTCTTTAGGATGCAATGCAAATCGCAACAGGCATGAAAGAGAATTTTCTTAATGATGTTTGAAGATAGCAGCTGAAAAGGCTCCTTACCACTCATTCGAATGTTGACTGCGGTGCTGACAACGATTTGTCCGGTGAGACGATGGGTGGTGCGGCATCGATAGGCGGTGAACTGGTCTCTGTATTCGATGTTATGCACCAGCAGTTCCCCCGTCGGGAGCACGTGAAACTTGCCATCTGTTAAAATATAAAATCTTCGTTTAAAAGCATGTCCAGGTCGCTGTGGTCAGGGTTATTATCATAATATTTTCGAAGAAGTTTGAATTTCCTTTGATTTAAGCTTGAAAGGTAAATCTGAAGTTCAGCCTTCCATACTCGGAAGAGGCGAAATCATGAGGTCTGACAATTTAAACTAAAATAAGATGTTCGAGTAAGAACTGATGTAAGATTACTAAACTAAACTAAGAACTAAAATAAGATTAGGATGCAGTCCATCGGAGGGTGTAGCACTGGTCAATGTTTTTTCTTTACGATCTAACGTAACTACTCAGTATTTTATGTAAAATGACGTTTTCCTAAATTCACATAATCCGAAGTAAATACGAGGGATTTCAAAAAAAGGGATCATAAAAGCCATGTGCCAAGTTTATCCGGTTTGTTGTTTACACTTCGGAGTATAGTCAATGATACGTGCAAGCACCGATAAGACATTGGTGCCGTTTTGTACAGTCAGTGAAAACATGACTCATAAATCAGAAGGCGTCTGGGCGTGCTTAAACCCGGTCATCAGAATTGCCTAAGCCCTAACTCCCGATCTTTGACACTGTTCACTTTTGTAGCGATTCGCCGACGTCCCAAAACAGAAATTAAAGTACCTTTTGGTTGCTGACGCAAGTGTGTTTAAGATTTGGTATACGCAGAGTATCATAGCGGGGCTGTCCATGGAATAAATTGCACGGAGGGACTTAGAAGACTCGCAAAAACGATTAGCTGATAAATTGGACTGCGTTTTGCAGAAAGGAACTAAGCCGCATCAGCTATTGCCAAATGTAACAGGACAATTTAATTCTTTACAAGAGAACGTTTGTTTGGATTCCTTTTAGAATTTTGAGAAATTTCCTTCTTTAAATTCAGAAAATTCACTGAAATTTGCACATAAATCCGCAGAACCATTTTCACGTTTCAACTACGATTGCCCGATTGAATTTGGCAATAGCTGGTGTGGCTTGGTTCCTATCTGCTTGACACGGTCCAATTAAAGCTACGGTATGCGGATGTGACGAATGCCTTAAGATCTCCCGTATGTTTAGAAGCATTTAAAAGTATTCTCCAGTTTCATCTACGAATATGAAGTTCTATATGCAGCTACGAAAAGTTTGAAACCTGCTGATTTGTTACCCGCTTTATGACAAAACTGCCCGGCAATTTTTAGCAGTATTATGACAGTCAAAACTGAACTAATAGTTATCTACCTAAAAGAAAGGTATTAAGTGTTTTAGATCTGGTGGCAAGGCGCCGATAGAAATTTGGACAAACTTATGACCCACAATTGACCAAGTTTAGGCAAAAAGTATACTTCATAAAGGGCATTCATACTGCATTCATTTATTTGCGTAGGGGCGTTCCCCTTTGCAGCGCAGTCCTTACATCTAAATTTTGTCCACTTTGCGTTCACACAAAACTGGACTGAAAACTTAGTTTCCTTCGATACCGATTGAACTTCGGCGATCCCGGCCAGAACCGATGTCTTCTGAAAAAGACACGCCGCTCAGCTTTTATTAGATAAAACTGAAGTTACGAATCATGCTCCCAGCTGCTTTCAGAAGATCAACGCGAAGCCAACGCTCGAAAAAACAACAAGAGAAAAACCGTAGGAGTCGAGCTTTTGCCCAGCGAGGAAACATAGTAGGAGCGGCAAATGACAAATTTAATTTTAACTTTTAAGTTAATCCTCGCGTTGACCGAGAAATGAGCTCAAAACACCGCTGCCAAATAGTCTCGGCTGCGTGAAAAATATTTAAAGTCTCAGGAGGATCTGAACTTCAAAGTGCCGCCGTCATCCTTGCTAAATCTCCGGCATCGGCTCTTTCCTCCAATTAATAAGGGAAACACAACGCAATACTCCTCTTTCACGATGAAACAATCGGGTAGAGCTAACGTATTAGAGTAGCTCAGCTCAGCTTTTTTCTGTGTAGGCGTGTTTTTAAGTTTCCCGAAAAAGATGGACAAAGTTGAGAGAAAGAACTAGCCTCACTGAAATTACAACGATCAATTTTGAAAAAAGCAAACTTCCATTAAAAAAATAAATTATGGAAAAACGATGATCGTCCTCCACTCTTTTTTAACAGAAGCATTAAATAAAGATATACCGGATGAACAATTTCGAGTACGTGAGGAGTATAGAGAGTTCACGCCTCGTGCCATCGCGCCTTCAATTTTGCAGATACAACACGGACAACCATAAAGCACGAATAGTTGTATCACTGCGCTGTATGCACGCATTGGAGACGGCGCAGTGATACAACTATTCGTGCTCTATGGTTGTCCGTGTTGTATCTGCAAAATTGAAGGCGCGATGGCACGAGGCGTGAACTCTCAATACTCCTCGGGTCCTTTCCCCTGCTGCAGCTCTGTTTCCATATTGTGGTTGATCAACACAGCCGAAGATAGGAGTGACGCAATCGAGCTTCGTTTTTCAATTTCATCTCGAATCTGAACGGCACCGTACTAGCAAATTACATACGTAGATAGCGGAGCATTAGGCGTTCACGCCTCGCGGCAACGCACCTTCAATTTTGCAATTGCAAATACGGACATCCATAAGGTACGAAGAGTTGTATCACTGCACCGTCTTCAACACGCGAAGGAGTGACTCTTATTTTTGAAATTTGGGAAAGATTCAGATTATAATTTGCTAAAAATATGCAATGATTAGTTCGATTCAATGATCATTCNAGCAAAGAAACAAATTTGTGAGATCTTTGAAGCGTCTTAAAAGGGGGCACGTCTAAAAACTGGTATTATGGCGAGAGTTGTGTCCAGGAATTTGTTTTGATGACTCAAATTGACCCAACTATCTCCTCTACGGGAATCACATATGACAAATGGCGGATGAGAATGTGTCAGTATTCTACTAAAAGGTGAAAATATCAAAGCAATCATGTTTTACCGACGATAACATAGAATTAATTTAGATGACACATCAAAAACTATCAATATCAACGTTTTCAAATACCACTCAATCGGACTCACACTTGGAGTTTTGCGCACAAAAAAAGAGTTCGGCATCTAAGAATTTAATAAAGTTTTGGGTAAGTATTTGAAGTTGCATAACAGGTGATCAATTCATGGATCAACTCGGGGTTCTCTTCAGTTAGCATCTCTTTTCTCCCTTTCAACTTTCTGCAAAAAAGAGGTATTGTTAACGAAAATGTCACGCATGAAAATCGCTAAACAGAGATTTACGTCAAACGAAGTATAGGGGAGTGGGCATTTTGTGGACTGCAGCGCGTAGGCGCGTACTTTCAGGGTGTCTACTGGTACCTTGCCATTAAAATTCCTTGCTTTTTCCCTACTTTCCCGAAAATTCTTTTTTGGGCGATTTTCACACGCATTTTGAACTATATTCGGTTTGAAAAAGTTGTAATGATGAAATGACAAAGGAATAAACCGAAAAACACAAGGAATCGAACCGGGATGTTGATAAATGGATTACGTTAGGAAATCGCATACTTTCTGGAGTCGGTCACAAAAATCTTTCATTTCCATACCTTTTCCGTGCTTTCGTACCGACCATGCGGAATCCGTGATTGTCAGCCCTGTGTCCACTCGTCAAAAGAGCGTCAAAATGGAAGCTCAAAGTGAATCGATAAATCCGATCTAATCGCGATTGTAGATAAAACAAGAGTTGCAAAACTCATCAATCGCATCAAATCCTGACTTGGAGCCACTTATCGTTGAAATCGATTCACTTTGAGCTTCCATTTTGACGAGTGGAGAAAGCAGTATTCGGTGTATCCGTACTTTTTCCGCACAGTAGACACCCTGCCCGTTTCTTCGGTGGGACTTGAGTTTCAAAGTTACTTCGAGATTACAAACAGTACGACAACAATGTTTTTAGTGAGAGCGGGTGAGAGGAAATGAAGCCAAAAAGAGAGGAATCCGAGAAGAGAGGCGGTGAGCTCTGGTTTTAATCAGGGCGGCTCGTTCGTTTAGAAGATACTAATTTTCTGGCGCTCCGTCCGCAACTGGCCTCGTCCGTCCGGGCCCGGCTAATTCAACAAACTTGCAAATTGCCCACACCAGCCTCGCCAGCGCTGCCCACACCCCCAATTGGATTCCGAACGAACCCCCATGCCAGCTCTATTCACGTCGCCGAGAGGATATACCACGCTGGGGAATTTGTGAGAGTTCCTAAATCTTAGTGCCCACCCGTTTCGACTGGAAATATTGAGAATGTGAAGATTCTCGTTAAAATATTCGGATTTTCGTTGTAAGAGCTCACTTCTCGTTTCAGTTGCTATTAAAGGCAGCTACTCTTCTTCTTCTTTTTCCGGTCGATATAATGGTCTATTTTCTTCGCGAAGAAAATCTACGGTAAAAAAAAAAGGTTGAGTTGCTGTTTAACTTATTTTTAACTTAAGTAATTTGAGCATCAAATGGCGTACTGCACTGGAAAAAAAAACAAAAAAAAAAACACATTGGATCTTGAGTCCAGACTCTTAAAAACATGGACAAGAAAAAGTACTCTTGATTCAATCAGAATCTAGCTTGAATCAAGGACCAAGCCTCTTAATTTAAGCGGATTTCGTTTTGATTCAAGCCAAAATCCGATTGAATCAAGAGTATTTTTCTTGTCGATGTTTCCAAGAGTCTGGACTCTAGATCCAATGTGGTTTTTTTCCCAGTGTGACTGGCTACTTTAAAGCTTCCTAAAAAGTGCTATTCTACTTTGAGAAATAATCACAATATATAATTGAATCTGCTCAGGAAGCTTTACAAAAACGTCACATCAAGTTGCTTTACGCGCGGGAGTTCTTCAACGGGTCACGCGGCTGTAACCTTTTTAACGTGTGGCTGAGTTGAGAGAAACCAGTGCTTCCATCAATCATGTGCCCCGATCAGTCTTACTGGAGAACCGATTCGTTATCCACGAGGGAGAATTTCACCGAATACTCGAGAGGAGAGAGAACGAGTGCAAAATCGCAAAGTTAGAGAACCGCTGCGCTGGGAGGGGTGGTTCCTCCGACGCAAGCCACTCCGCGCTACCGTTAATAGCTATCGACATTAGCCGTATTGAGCGGACAGCTTCGTTTTTCAGCCACAGTGTGTCTCATTCTGGTAAAATCTGGACAATAAATGAACACAATCAAAACCTAGTAAAAAAAAAAATAGTTACGTACGGAGGGTTCATACCGCTAGAAAATGGGTCCAAAATGAGTCCTATAAAGAGCGATAATTGGTTTCAATTGGTTTCAGGCATTATTCTAAACTTTTACTCTTTTCATCAATATTTTCCTGTACAGTCTAATCATTTGCACATTTTCCCACGAATTGGGATTCAAACGAAGTTTTGCAAGATGAATCAGAAGTTATAAGCATTACTGAATTATCGAAAATTGTTTAACCTTATATTTATTGGAACATTCCCAATAAGGGAGAGTTCTAGTAGTTTAAGTGATCCACAAACTTCTGAACTCACTTCATTACAAGATACATTCAGTAGTTGCAATAAGATCAATATTTCGACTAGAAGTCCTACAGAATCTTCCATTCCTCAGAAGTGGAAAGCACTTCATGCTGATTGTGATAAAAAACGTACTGAGTGGCGTTTGATGCATACTGATCGTGATAACAATTTTTGACAAAGTTTTGGATCAATCGCTGATTACCGAATCACAGAAAGAAGACAAATCCGTTATGAAATGGACTGCGTTTAGCAGAAAGGAACCAAGCCACATCGGCTAATGCAAATTGTTATTGGGCAATTTAAATTTTTACATGAAAAGGGTTTTGCGGATTTTCGTGCAAATTTCAGTGAATTGTCTGCGTAGCGCGAAGTTAATTCCTTAAAATTTTCAAAGGATTCCGCACAAACGTTCTCTCATAAAAATTAAAATTGTTCAATTAAAGTTGGCAATAGCTGATGTGGCTTGGTTCTTTCCTGCTAAATGCGGTCCAAATGAAAGCTTCAGTAACCCACCTCCTATCAAGAAATTGACAACTAATGTCAATCGTGTCAAAAATATTCCTCCGTCCTGAAGCTACCCGTAGCCATTTCCTCAGTAAAATATTTTTACCCACAAAAATTACTTTCAGAGTGATGAGGGACACTTGATCCTTCGCTATTATGACTTTAGGCATTACAATGCCAATACAAACTGGCCCGCTAAATCGCCAAAAAAATGGGCAAAAAGTGTAAAAGTTCAAAAGACGCAGGTGAATTCATCGGAAAAAGTCCGCGATATTTTGCCTTGAGAAACACTGTGAGGCGAGGTGGAGGAAAGCAGAAATATAAATAGCATGATTCGGAAGAAAAGTCTCGGAGAAGCCGTAAACGCTAAGTTTTCGACACAGTCATCAATACAGATAAACTCGATGAAGTTATCATAATTCAAAGTTCCAACGCACCGTTTGGAAGTGAAAGCTTCAAGCTGCCCTTCGGTACGCCATAGTGCGTTGTCAGGTTTCAACAAATACAACCATTGTCATCAAATGGCTTCAATCTCTAAGGTATGTCAGTATCGACCAAGATTGTGGCTTCTTGCAAGTTTTCCTTGAGGGTGGACAGAATTGCCTCCTGATCAACCATCTTCATTATTTTCTCTCTCCGCTCAGTAACAGTCGTAGGGGAAAAAATACTTAAAATTAACTTACCGATATATATTTCTCACCAGGATTGCAAGCTGAATCCGAATCCGTTGAAATAAAAGAGCATTTATCCGCGACAATTTCGATGCGTTCTGATCAAATGTTCAAATAGACGGTGCAATTTCAGATTTAAGAAATTTCAGGGAATTTTTGAACAAATTTCGGAGAACATAAAGCACCACATCTACCTGCACACTTTCATTCAGTACCTCCAGTTTCGATGGATCAACAGCCTTTTGGAAGAAAAAGGAAATTCAATCTTCAGTCTTACCGCGAGGTGCTTTCTCGTCGATGTTCGGAAAAAACACTCACCTCCATCATGACTGGCGTAGATGTTAAGATTCGGCTCTTGGACCCAGGATACGACGCGAACATACTCCTTGACGAATCCGGGGATGGAACACTGCAGTATAGCTGTGCAGCCCCGACTCGCCACCAGGACATCCACTGATATCTTGTACGCTTGCGCCACCACTGCAATCAAAAGCCACAGGAATATAAAACGGCGGAAAGTTCTTTTTCTCCACTTTCAGGGGGGTTAGAACTGAAGGAAACTTTAAGTTGAATCACACGCGACGCTTTATCAACAATTATTGATTATAATCTTCAAAAATGTTGCTTATTATACCAACTTTGTTTCAATCTATACTCCGGCTCATTGAAGCTCGTGAGGTAGATGAGCGATACTTAAAAACTTTCTTGTCAAACGTGGGATGTACTTTACGTCGGTTAGTCATACTAACATATTCCACATGAGTACTCATGTGCGTTTTTTTGTCCACGGTCAAATGCAAAGAAATTCGTTTCTCCGTCTTAAGTAGCGATTATATCATGTATCGCAATAGTTTCGAGCCATTTTTAAAAAAAAAATTATCCAATAAACGAGGCGATCAGACAATCATTTCACCCTGTTGATCGTTCTCAGTGTTCATCACGGATTCTTGAGATTACACTTTTGTGAGAGATATTTTTAATCCCGAAATAATGAATCGTGACAGTATTTTACAACGTGACTCACGATTTACACAACTACTTACAACTAATACTTGGATTCCATTTCGCAAAAAGGAACCAAGAGGATTCCAATCTTGCTAAGATCGTGCGCAACTTCTTTTATCTTGAAAGAAAAACTCTGATCATCTATAAACACTTTCTATTCTACTCGCTAAAACCTGTAAATTTGAGACACAATTACCGTATAAATCTCGTATTTTTGCATGATTTCATTAGTTTTATTGCAAAGGATGAAGTTGCACAATCTTAGCAACATGGCATTGCTCCTGGTTCCTTTTTGCAAAATGCAATCCATTTTATGCACCGCGTGATAAACCTATGGGACTCCTAACAAAAGGCCTGCACATGCGAATGTTTACGACTATCGGCTCATTACGGTGACAAGTGGACGTATTTCTGCTAAAAGGAACTATGTGCATAGGGATTGCGTGTGACATAGTTCCTTTTAGCATAAATACGTCCAAGTATGTCTTCTGCGGGCTGATTGTTGAAATTGATAGACAAAGCGATTGATAAAGAAGACATAAGGAGTGTGGAACGATCATTCTGATTGAAATGGGTGCTATAGACTGAAAGAGAAAATGATGGTCTAATAATAACTGTAGGGTCTCTCGTGGGTTATGTTTTAGTCTATTACCTACCTCCTTTGTCCCATGGCAACCACCCGTTTCCACCAATAGGATCCCTCCATGTCCCCTTTCTTCTTCTTTGTCTACCGCTTTGTCTACCTATTTCAATAATCAACCCGCTGTTTGAGCGATGAAATAAAATAACGTTATGGACCGCCTGCACATCGAACATGTCGTGAGGAAAAGGTGACATTTCGTCGCTCCTCCAACATAAGGGCGTGACTCTATTTCCCCGTGAGCCCTCAGGGCCCCGTTTAAGTAAAATACGTAACGCACTCCTTCCAATTTTTAACCCCCCCCCCCTTCATAACCCAACACTGGAAGAAAAAACACATTGGATCTAGAGTCCAGACTCTTAAAAACATCGACAAGAAAAAGTACTCTTGATTCAATCAGAATTTAGCTTAATTCATGAACCAAGCCTCTTAATTTAAGCGGATTTCGTTTGGATTCAAGCAAAAATCCGATTGAATCAAAAGTATTTTTTCTTTTCAATATTTTCAAGAGTCTAGACTCTAGATCCAATGTGGTTTTTTTTCCCTCAGTGTAACGCCCCCGTACTGCAATTCTACACTTTCCCTATTTAATTACGTAACGCTGGCCTGACCCTCTCAGTTTACATTCAGGAAGGGCGGGATTTTCAATTTTTTGCACATTTCTTCAAAGTTCCCCTCCCACCTAGAATTTGTCACGTTACGCTGGGCTTTAGCCCCCCTCTCCCCCATAAGTGCGCCACGTAATATTTGAACGGCCCCTTATTTCCATGCAAATCCCTGCGTTTTTGAACTCATGCGGAAATGGAGATACACCGTTACCCGTTACGTCAAAGAAGCGACGATTTTAGGATCATGAAAACGGTATATCGCAAAGAATAAGAAATATATGTAAAATGAACGGCTTGGGAGAGGGAAAGGAGGGACTGCCAAGGAAATGAGACGGAACTGAATCAAAAATTACCGCGCGCGATCGTGAGAGAAATATAGAGGAGATAGACTATTCATCTTGGTCCACCGGATAATGGAGGATAATTCTCGGGACCAATGTATTTATTTCTTACGCTATGAGCGTTGGCAGAAGGCCAGGATTTTTGGCAGGAGCTATTCACTGTCATAGCAAGGTTGCCGTTCACTGGGCTATTTAGCAGCTTCTGTACTTTCGTTAAGGATAGAGCATTACAAATCGGCAACTGATGTCACAGAGTATCCATGCTGAGTAAGCGGTTTCTGGTTATTCACACGTGAAAAAAGGACGCGAGCAAAACAAACATTCCGCTCCCGCCTGAGAAAAAGAGCAGCAAGAGAATAAAATAACGAGATGAATTTACAAATACAATTTATTTAAGAATACGTGTTCCTTATTTTATTTCATTTTATTTTATAGTGGATTTCTTGTTTTGTTTTTGACACAGCACAAAATTTAGCTGAAGATTATTCCGAGCCCACCAACCTCTGACCCTTCTGACCCTTCGACGTCCGGCCGCGGGGAAAGTGTCTCAGGTCCTCCATCGGCGTTTTCCGCAGCGTTTCTCTGCCGCTAAGGTGCCGTTCCCACGAAAAAGCATCAGAAGATTCATCGGCGTCTTTCACTGGTAAAAAAAAAAAAACCTCTTGGACCAATGCCGCGGTGCATTGACTTAAGAGTGCAGTTTCTTGTCGCCGGATTTAAGAGTCTGGAACTCTTGTTTCAAGCGGATTTTGCATTGATTCAATTCAAAATCCGCTTGAAACAAGAGTCCAGACTCTTGAATCCGGCGACAAGAAACTGCACTCTAGAACCAAGAGGCTTTTTTCACCAGTGTTCTGCGGTGTCTAGGCGCCGTGGAAAGACGCGCCTAATAAGGTTCCGTACCTTTACTCGTACAATCTCCGGAAGCGGTGTGCGAATGTTCCGTAACAAAGTCAATAACGTTGCCAGGTTGCGATATGAACCGAATAAAAATAGGCCACGCCATCTTAGCAGTAACTGAATTCGAAAAAAATACCATTGTTGCGAGCTGTCCCAAGCTGTTACGGCGAACAAAATATGTTTCGACTAATGAAAGTTGTTCTTCTTTATTTCAGATGATGAGTACCAGTACCCCTTTAGAAAACAAGCGGCATGGCCGCAGACTGCTGTCTGGGGTAAATTTGGACGACGCATTTGCCAGCATCATTCGCGGCGGAGATTATGAGTTCACCCATACTCAACATGTGACAATCTCGCCATCGCAACGTTCCAAATTCAATAATTCTAGGCATGGCCGCGGACTGCTGTCTGGGGTAAATTAGAACGACGCATTTGCCAGCATCATTCGCGGCGGAGATTATGAGTTCACCCATACTCAACATGTGACAATCTCGCCATCGCAACGTTCCAAATTCAATAATTCTAGGCATGGCCGCGGACTGCTGTCTGGGGTAAAATTGAACGACGCATTTGCCAGCATCATTCGCGGCGGCGATTATGAGTTCACCCATACTCAACATGTGACAATCTCGCCATCGCAACGTTCCGAATTCAATAATTCTAGTGGTGGTATATAAAACGTGTTGTGTGAGTATAAACATGATAAAATCACACCCTTAGGTAAAAGCCATTTTAAAAACACCCAGACTATATGTTGTTCCTGATTTTCCCTGAATTCGGAAGACAGTTGGACTAAAGTACAATCATACATTAGAACCGTTCTTGTCAACAAAAAAGCTGCTATGGACGAAATAATCTCTGCCTACGAATGCCATAAGGCGGATCCCGGCATCGCGAACCTACAACCGAGTTGAACTAAGCAATTATTGTACTTATTATTATTTTCACCTCAACCTAGTCAATCTTTGTTAATTTATAGTCCTCATAATTATTGTTTTCTTTAAATCTCATCACAACACTCTCATTCTAAGTGTAAATGTATTTGCTCTGTAACTTGCAATAATAATAATAATAATAAAAAAAAAAAATCCGATTTCCCAATTTCACATATAAGTGTAAAATATTTAGAGCCTTGTGTGAGCCGTTTAAGTATTGCCGGAGAAACGAGAGGGGGAAAGCTTTTGCCTGATATCATGACAACGCCGGTTGTGTAAGCTTTTTGTGTGTCACTTTTTACAAGACGCGAATGTGTAGGTAACATTTTACCAGCATGCAACTATTCGACCGTGAGAGTAGTGATGGGTGGTATCGTACTTTTTGAAGGCGTTTTATGAACGCACGCTTCACTCTAATACACCAGGGCATAGGAGTTCGCCCTTATTTCAAGCTTATTTTCAGTGCAACACTGCAATTTCAAAGGTCCTCATACTTGGCCTTCTACTGAATGGCTACTCAGAAAACCATGGAGAGATCAATTGGGCAAAATATCACAACTGCCTCAGAGAGGTAACCAGCAACCACGCCACCTAATTTCAAAATAAAGAAATCTTATTGAAGCCGTCAATGAATTTATCTTAATCTGTCCAATTATTTGTGAGTTTTTCATCATTAAAATTGCAAGCTAAATGTGTTGAATGTGTATAAATTGAATGTCATCCTGAGTTTTTTTCTCTTATATTTCAGTGGGTTTTATTGAAGATGTGAAAGTGCGGTTCTCAAATCAAAGGTAAAAGTTCCTCTCTGTTACTCAGTAGTAATTTGTTAGTTAAGTTCTAGTTGCTTTGAAGGTGCGTATTAGTAACAAAGTTGTTTGAGTCGGCTTGCTGTGCAATTTTTTAATATTGCTAATGAAACGTGCGTTGTGCTTTGCTGTGTAATTAGTCATCTGTAGCTGAAACTATAAACTGGATCCTTCTAGTCTTGAATAATTTTAATAAAAAAAGTGTTTTCTTCTGAACGCTTCAGTAGTTGTTGTAAGGTAAAACATGATGTTATTTGAGGCATGTCACGAACGCGAACGCGGATATCGAGCCACTCGCGATCGCGAAAACGCATCGTAATTTTAGTTTTTATACATTTTTCAATCACCTGACGATGAGCGTTAGCTCGAAACAGCTGTAGTGTAGAATCAACAACAATTTTTAGAAAAATCGGTAAGAAAAAGTTTTACAAAATTTCAAAATTTAAAGTATGGCCGATAAAGTCAACAACATAAGTAATATCTCTTTCTCACTTGTTCGTATGGAGCTACTTCTTGTGTACTTCGGTCATGCCTGACGTCAAGCGCTATCACTACGCGTTCTCCGCACGTTAATCTTGCTCCAATGTTTCTCGGGCCAGCTTCAGTTTAAGAAAAGTTTTATCATTTAGTGGAAAACAAAGACAATTTAAAAATGAAAATGAGAATGTTTTATCATTTATTGGTAAAAATATATTTATCGCTAGTCTGCCTACGTATGAGTCGCTTTTAGTCTACCTTCACTAGTCAATACCGTCACTAGTCTACCTTCGATACTGAATATTTGGTTTTATAAATAGTATGTTTGGCTAAATACGAAGTTTCAAAATTGAACACAGCGACACTGTCGATTCTCAAGACTTTCTTTTTACTGATAAATTAAGTATGGAACCATTATAATCAATCTTCGTTGCCGCTAATTAAGCTCCCTCCATTTTTATTGAAGCTCTTCGAAACGTATGCGCTCAAAACCCCAGAGAATGTTTCCAATGTTGCCAGAATTACACTGTTACTTTATATGCGCTGTTGTAGGGTTTTATTTTTCATGCCAGGTCGCCGCGTTGAAGAAAAAAAAACTTTTTATTTTCTCATTTTTTTTCGTCCGCTTAATGTCGTCGTAATGATGAGTGAAAAAGTGTACTTTGGATTGGATAAAACAGAGGAAATTGTAGAAATGGAGATACCTTCAGAATACCGACGTATAATGTCAGAAGGTTTACAAACCACCTCATCTCTTTATCACACGTACCGGACGAAATTCTGCCGAACGGAACTGAGGACGAGTAGGAAAGGTGGGGTGTGCTCGTTGGAAGTGTATGAGAAACAATGTAAAAGGGGGTATGATTCCCTTTGGAGATATAGAAAAGCGGGATTTTACACTCTGTCAGACGGATTTATGTGCCAAATGAATGCGGCACTCATGAGCCATGAGCATGTGACGAGAGCGTAATGAACGGGGCTCATGAGTTAAAAAAGTCCCACCACTGATCTTCTCATCCGAGATGAGCTCGGTCGTCGCCACTGACGTCACTGGCGCCTTACAAATTACAATGCCCACTCATTCTTACGACCCTCGCCTAACCAGCACACCCCTTCCCTCCCGCCTGTATCTAGTTCCGTTTGACCGAAATACGTCCAACTGCATCTCGCTATGTAATATTCACAATCCTTGAAATTTTATGAACAGTAAGTACTGGGCGTAGCGGGTTAAAGTTAACCTTAGTGGGCCAAACATGAGTCTCATTTTGACCCGGCGCATAGTAAAAGAGCGCCCATTTTGCACCCGCTGCCCCTAGAAACTTTACCATAACAAATAGCTCTACAAAAACATTTAATTACATAAATTTAAAAAAAAAAAAAAAAAAAAAAATTGAAAAAAAATATTTTCGAGTAGCTAGAGTTTTTTTTTTTTTCACAATTACCGCAAGAACGACAATACTGGGTCAGTTTTGACCCGTTTCCCGGTTCCCAGGGAATTTTCGGTTTTGTTTTTTACCATGATGATGCTGCTATCGTCCCTTAGGTAAAATCGAAGCCAGAGATCATCCTATACTACAACAAAACTAAAACAGAAGTCGATACAACCAAATGGTTGGGTGCTGTGCGGCCAAACGACAGACGCGGCGGTGGTCATTTGCGTTTTTATGAATATGCTGAATGTTGGCAAATTTAAACTATTGAGGGGAAAAATACTAGGCCTATTAGTCTAATTTTAGGTTTCCCTGATGTAAAATATCATTTAAAATACGATCATGCATAAAAAAAAAAATAAATAAATAAACAAGGAGATCCTATGTCTTTTAAGTACGGGTCTAAACTGACCGGGTATTGGCGAACTAGTGGAAAAAACTTGTTCGGCAGACTACACTGGAAAAAAAAAAGTCTGCTACGGTCCAGCCGTCTCGGAATCTTGAGAAAAAATCAGCTTGATTCAAGAATTTTTATCTTAAAACAAGCAATTTATTGCTAAATTCAAGATTCGAGATTCTTAATTGCAGCTACCTTATAGCTTGAATCACCTGCTAGCTTGATTTAAGCAGCACAAAAATCTTGAGTCAAACTTGCTGAGTCTTACATCAAGCCACCATGGCTGCTAATTCAGAGAAGTTGTTTCTTGATTCAAGATAATGTATACTCGACTCAAGATTCCTGGTTTCAAGCATGACACGAATCTTGGAAATAGCTGAAAAAATTAGACTTAAATTAAGTTTGCAGCCAACTTCTTGAATTAAGTTTCCATTGGATTGTAACCACTCCGCCTTTATTTTCGACGCGGGCACATTAATTTATACATTCCTACATTCTCGAGTCATTCCAGGAGATCTCCAAAAGACCGAGAACAAAACCCGCGGCAACGCACGACAACTTCAACAGGATCCATGTCGAAGAATCAGTAACGTTTTATCCCTACGTTACGGAATTTTATGAAAAATGAATAAAACTTTCAGTATTTAGTATTGGATCCGAGCATTAAACGAAAAATAATTAAGATTCCGCTGGGTAGCTAATTTCAAGCAGCACGGCCATGCTCATTTCAAGCTGTACGTTTCTTGGCGGCAAATTCGAGAGTCATCATGCTTGATTCAAGCTACTTCTTTTTTCAGTGTTGTTCGGGAGACTATAGGATTAAGAGATGTGGGAGAAGAGTCTGACCTGCGCGAACTTGGACGTCCCTGCTGATGATCCTGCCGACGGTGTTGGCGGCGGCGCATCGGTAGACGGTGCTGTGGATGTCGGACCTGAAGGCGGCCGCCGAGAAGGGGAGGAGGTGGAGGGTGCCGTTGTGGAGGAGGCGGCGGACGCCCGGGACGTCGGTGACGGGAGCGCCGTCGACGGTGGTCCACTCCACCATCGGGGTCGGGTTCCCGGTGGCCGAGCAGTCGAGCCAGGCCCCCGACGAGTTGGAGAACTCCAGCTTCGAGGGCGGCTCCATGAGCAGGCTCGGCCCTTGCAGCACTGAGTCGAACGCCCACGCCAGCTCTGCAAAACACAACCCATCAAATATTTTAACATTTCCATCTCGTACAAGTCGGAATCATGTGGTCTGCCGCTATAGCTAAGAAAGCATGTAAGTGTCAAAGTTTCAAAATAATGTTTCCTTCAAGATTCGCTTGATCTCTTTTAAATGAAATCACAGATGTAACGAAAAACGGCAAAATTCATCTTATTTTCATTAAAACGAGACATATCGACGGCGTAAGTCCGCAATCACATACAGGGTTATTCAAAAGTCACGCACCACTGGCCATAACTCCAGTTCTAATTTAGATATCGATATGCGGTTTGTGATGCGTTTCCTCATATTGAAAGGGAAACTTTTTAAGTACTTTTCAGTTTTCGACCCCCTCAGGAGGAGGAGGTGGGGTGCAACTCAAAAATTTCAAAGGGCCACCCCCCCCCCTCATGGTCAGTGGTGCGTGACTTTTGAATAACCCTGTATCTCGTTTGCGATGTTTGAAAATCTCCGCCTCTATGTTATTTTGTTTTAAGGAGAACAAATTGACACCATTCCTTGATGTTTATGCGGAATTTTCTTCGCACAGAGAAGAAATATCACGGCAGTTTTAAAGAGGGATATAATGCAATGAGCCACAGGTCTTGGCGCCACGCTCGGATCTCGGTTAAAATCCGGGCCCAGCGCCACACTCCAGCAAAATCCTCAAAATTCCCTTAGCGGAAAGACAACTGTAAACTGAACTTTGTGGCATGGCAGGTGGCACCAGCACATAAGCGATTTTATATATAAAGAAAATTTTAGAATTTTGCTGGAGTGTGGCGCCATACTCTGTGGCGCTGGGCCCAAATTTTAGCCGAGATCCGAGCGTGGCGCCAAGATCTGTGGCTCATTGCACCGTAGCCCTCTGTAACCTGCAAGGTTACAGATAGAGCAAAATTCATTTACGCAAATTTTATACGTGGATTGATGTACTTGAATAGTTACTAGAAAGGTAGCTATTTTTATTACAAGGCTGATTTGGGGCAAGCTGTGTACAATGAGGTATAAAGGATGATGCATTTTTTTTCTCCATCTCCTGTGAACGTAACAATTCCTCTGTTTTTTGTAAGTAACAATTAATATTTCCCTTTATCTCAGAGGGGAATAAGTTTTCCTCAAGTATATTGTCACAACCTGCTTTCTTGAGAAGAATTTTTAGTTGCGAAAACCAATTGAATTTTGGAACATTTACATTTCTGGAATCTAGTTCCTTTAGAAGCTTTAGGCAAATTTTAGGGTACCTAGAGTCATCCATACTTTCAACCTTGACTGATCTCTTCCTGTTTCGGTTCTCAACTCCGTTCTGTTTTCGGTTCATTTATCAAGATCCAACAAAACAGCAGTGAAACACATTATTTCTCCAGAGAGCCAATAAAAACAGTGCTTTCAAGTAGAGTGCCGCCGTCTTCTGCCAATTTCTATGGTGAAAATGTATTTTCAAAAGCATGCAGAAGATGGTGCTTATGACTGTCTTGCCTAACACTATGGCCTAACATGAAAATGGAAAATACCCTTTTTATGAAATTGAAATAAAATCGGTCGATTTCCCTGGTAAAAATTGGCAGTAGAATCTGTTCCAAAATACCATAGACCTACAGCCGGCTGTAAGATTTCCAATAGCTTCTACAGCCAGCCACACAATTTCTTATAGCCTTTTATAGCCGATGGCGACTAAGCAACAGCCAGGCGATGAAGTGTATGCTAAACGTTACTAATTACGGATGCTAGGACTAACATTAAGTGAGTTTTTGAAATACTACTCTCTTTTTGGGCCGTAGTATCTTGATTTATTTTGAGAGGAAAGCTCCGTGCTTTTGATGGATGCCTGCCATTACTAAAATATTAGAGCGTCTTCAGTTTTGTATGATACTGTGCAATACCTCTGGTGTGAAATAGTTGCTTCAAGCGCCGTGGCAGACGGGCAGCCAGCGCGAAACACGCATTGGCGCCTACAAACCTAACAGGGATACTTCACGCGTTGCGCAATGCATGAAGTATTCCTGTTGGGTTTGTAGGCGCCAGTGCGTCGCCGCTCCGCTTTGTGTGCTCTAACATTTGATCTGGCGGAGTCAGCGTTATTCAACTCATGATTTTGAAATGTTTGCACATCCTGTATGGATTATTCTCATTTTAATTGATGAAAAAAAATATGTATTAAAGGAAAATATAATGTGTGTTTCGTAAATATTAAGGTGATTCCGTATCAAACTTAATAATTTCCAGAGCACACGAATTTCTACACAATTTCTTATACCCTTTTATAATCGATGGCGAAAAAGCAACAGCCAGGCGATAAAGTGTAAAGCCCGGCGACAGGAACTATAGCTCGGCTGCATAATTTTTTATCGCTTCGTAGAGCCCGGCCGTATGATTTTCTCCGCATTCTACAGCCAGCTATTTGATTTTCTGTAGCCTTCTTTAGCCGGCTATAAGAATTCCTATAGTACCTATTTTGAAACGCAGCTCTCATCGCCAATTATTACCAGGGTTTTAATCAGCCAAGCGATTTCTAAGGGTTTTCCGGATGATTTTTGACAAAGAACGGAGGCTTTTTCCGGTAAAATCTTTCGGTCAGACGCTTCTGAAAACGTTTTCTCGAAACATATTTTTTGCACTTACTGCTCTCTTGGCTATCGTGGCAAGACAGGATTTGAAGAAACTCAAAGACCACAGCCAAAAGCTTATGGAGTTTTGTCTCTTTGAAAAGTACTAGTGCAGGATGCAGGATACGAGGGAATGATCCTTTGATCGTGTTTTTAAAATACTCGGAGCGCGTTTGGCAACACTGCAGGAGGCCACTTCAAGAACGTACGACGGTGATCGATCTGTCAACATGTTCAAAATAATTATTCCTCCCTCTCGCTTCTTCAAAAATAAAATAAAATTCGTAAAATGCCTTGGCATGTGCTTTAGACATGAGGAAAATCGATACAACTTACATAACAGAGGTTCACTGCAATTTCTACGGGGTAAAATAGGCAAACGAAAACATCGTTCCGGTAGTCTGTGACAATCGTGGAATTAGTGGGAGGTACTTTCGTTAAAAGGTTTCCATTATGCTAGTGTACACCGACTGTACTTTGGACACGCGTGGCAGTGACTTACAAAAAATTGATGACGAAGGGGAATGAGATTTGGGGAAAAGCAGGAGCATTTAGAATACTAGCAGTTTTGGGCGCGCTTTGCGCACCCGTCGGGGCTAGCCCGTGAGCTGCGCCCCCTTGACTCTCGGTTACCTGCTACGCGAGTAGCAGGTACCGAGCCATTATCTTGGTAGCCATTATCATCGATATTTGAGCCATTATCTTGGTAGTTAGACATCTGATCACTCCCGAACAAAACAAAAACACGAAATGCAATGTTCGAGTTACGTTGCAGCCGTGTTACTACAAACTTCTTACGAAAATGATCCAAACATTTAAAAAAAAAATATTACTGAGTTTATAATGTAAGATTGAAAATGGATAAATGATCTGACTCTTTTTCGCTATCTTTACGCTAATTTAATATTTTCTTTTGTGCCTACTATACGTGCAGGGTAGGATTTTCGAGGAGCTCACAAGCACTATAAACGATGTTGCATTATACAACAAGATTTCGAGGATGATGTCCTGCTCATCCTGATGATCAGCAGTTTGATTGGTAAGTTGCAAGACTCAAGTATAATTTTGGAATTTTGCTTTTCCCTCCTGAAAAAATGTGGCCTTTTTCAATTTCTAATCAAATTGTACTGGTTCCTTTCTTCTCTGCAACATATTAATTTCATTGTTTTTTGTTCGTTTTTTTTTTAAGTATGTGTATCGCACTTATTGGTTGTTTTTTTGCTGCTCCTACTCCAAAACAAAACGAAGGCTTCTCACTTTTACTCTCAGATGAAATGAATCGAGAGCCATCTCCTTACAATCACTCAGCAACCATTTCATGCACCATGTCTTCCGTTTTTCAGCTTGTGTACTGCTTTGCCGTCTGGGTCAACTGTGACAAGTACCCCAGATGATCCGGCGATCTCCGAAAACTCGGCAGAGAGAAATGCTGTGGCAACCTAAAAATCCATGCTCCATAAAATGTTGGAGGAAAAAGAAGCAGGCAACGAGAGATTCCGTCCAGTGCCGGTTGAAGAGAATAGCATCGAAGGCTTGAAAGAGAAAATCAGCAATTTTTTACGCCAGAGTAGGTTGCCTGAGAAAGCTGATATTGTAGCGCATTGGGAGACCGAGAAGTTATTTTGGCCCAAAATTTATGAATTATCTAAATTTTTCTTGGGAATCTCTGCGACGCGATCAAGTATCGAGAGACTGTTCTCTCATCTAAAGTATATTAAGAACAATCTGAGGCAGAAACTTAAAGAGGAACGTATGCAAGCAATAATGGCAGTGAGAATGTATCGTAATGTTGGCAAAATTTGCCCCATGAGAAAGCGAAATAGAGTGGTCGCCTGGTCGGTGTGGATGCACATGACAGTTAATTTTATTAGTTGACAAAGCATATCATTCTTAGTAGCTGTGATTACAGAATATAGTTGTGTGTCTTGCAGCAACGACTGATATATTTCAGTTTTCTTGCGAGAACTTTCTTTGTCCTCATCAATTTTACAGAAAACACCGTTATCTATAGCAAAAAATGTATACTTTTAACTGAAGAAGAATTCACCCAAATATAAGCTCGTCACGTTTTTTTTATGGTAGGTATTTTATTTTTTGTTTTTTTTCTCTTCTTTAACATTTCTTTGAAGGGCTTTCTCAATAGGGCATATGACTGATGTAGCCAAATGAAGTATGTCCTAAATTGAAATAGTGATAGTATGTTTTGACTGCAGCAATGACTATGTAAAAATGTATTTTTTTATATTTTACATTGGTATTTGGGAAGGGCTTCGATGAAGAAGATTCGCATTCGTTAGCCAAAATGAAGCGTTTTCTAAACTGAATATGTTACGATTGTGATTTTTGAGTGAGTAATCCTTCTGCCCACCTGTTATTTATAA